TTTCCTGCTCCTCTGATGCTGCTTGGCCTGCTGTGTTCATCCAGCTCTACACCTTGTTATCTCAGACTATAACCTGGTGTTGTGTGACTTTTGACCTTGTCTCCCCAGTTCAACACCGGCAGCTCCACATTTTGTTATTCATGTCTAAGGATGCACAGATCCTCACGTAATGCAGCATTCTAGAGTATCTTTCCACGTAAATAACATTCTGCTTTTTTTATTCTCCCTATTAAAATGAACAACTTCATTTTTGCACATCATAATCTGTTTGACTTTTTTTCTTATTACTCAACCTATTTATATCTTTGCAGACTCTGGCAGAAAATCAACTTATTAAGAGCATGTAATCTTTGTTTTATAAGCAAATCTGGCTGCAGTACAGTCATCCAAGTCATTAATGTAAATAGTTGAGGCAGCAGCGTTGATCCTTATAGCACACCACTAGTTATGGCTTGCTATCTTGACACAGAATCATTTATCTCAATTCTGTATGTTTGTTGGTTAGCAATCATAGAACACAGAACAATGTAGCACAGGAACAGGCCATTCAGCCCTCCAAGCCTGCACCGACACATTTTGCCCTTCCATACTGAAACTGTCTTCATTTACAGGATCCGTATTCCTCTATTCCCTTCCTATTCATGCACCTGTCCAGGTGCTTCTTCAATGCTGCTATTGTGTCTGCTTCCACCATCTCCTATGACAGTGTGTTCCAGGCACTCAACATCCTTTGTATGAAAAACTTGCCTCACACATCTCTTTTAAATTCCACTCCCGCCTCCCTGAAACCTTGAACCAGTGTCCCCTAGTAATTGATCCTTCCACCCTGGGAAAAAGCCTCATACTTTCCTCGCTATTTATTGCCATTCACAATCTTAAACTTTTATCAGGTTGTCCCTCAACATCCTGTTCCAGTGAAAACAAACCTAGTCTATCCAATCTTTCTTTACAGTTAAAATCTCCCATTACCAGGCAACAGCCTGATAAACTTTTTTGTACTTTCTCCAAAGCATCCACGTTCGTCTAGTAGTGTGGTGACTAGAACTATACACAATATTCCAAGTATGGCCTAATTGAAGTTCTATAAAGCTGCAGCATAATTTGCCTATCCTTATACACAATGCCTTCCAATGAAGTTAAGCATGCCATATGCCTTTTCTTACTACCTTATCTACCTGCGCTTTCACCTCATTGATCTGTAGACCTGCACACCCAGATGCCTCTGCATATAAATATTCCTAAGGATTCTGCCATTTAACATGTAATTTCCACCTGTACTTGACCTTCCAAAATGCATCATCTCACATTTGTCTGGATTAAACTCCATCTGTCGCTTTTCTGCCCATGCCTCCAACTGATCTATATCCTGCTGTATCCTCTGACAATCCTCCTCACTATCCGTAACTTCACCAATTTTTTGAATTGTCCGCAAACTTACTGATTAGACAGCCACGTTTTCCTCCAAATTATTTATGAAGACCACGAACAGCAGAGGTCCCAGCATTGATCCCTGTGGAACATCTCTAGTCATAACCCTCCATTCTGAAAAGCATCCTTCCACCGCTACCCTCTGTCTCCTATGACTAAGCCAGTTCTGTATCATTCTTTCTAGCTTACCTCTGATACTATGTGACTTCACCTTTTGTACTAGTCTGGCACAAGGGACCTTGTCAAAGGCTTTGCTGAAGTCCATGTAGACAACGTCAACTGCTTTTCCCACATCAATCATCTTCGTCACGTCCTCAAAAAAATTCAGTCGAGTTAGTGAGGTACAACCTCCCCTGCACAAAATCATACCTTCTCTGGCTGATTAATCCATTTGCTCCTAAATGCGTATAGATTTGCCCCTGAGAATCTTTTCCAATAATTTCCCTGCCACCAACGTGAGCTCGCAGGCCCGTGATTTTCTGGAATATCCCTGCTACCCTTCTTAAACAAATGGACAATATTGGCTATTCTCCATTCCTCTGGGACCTCACCTGTGGCCAAAGAGGATGCAAAGATACGTCAGTGCTCCAGTATTTTGTTCTCTTGTCTCCCTCAATATTCTGTGGATCTCATCAGGACCCAGGGACTTATCTACCTTAATAGTTTTTAAGATGCACAACACCTCTTCCTTTTTAATAGCAACTTGGTTTAGAAATTTGACACTCCCTTCCTTGAAATCATCCTCCACCAATTTCTTCTCTTTGATGAATACTGGCACAAAGTATTCATTTATCTACCCATGCTACTATACCATGAGCTCTTGTATAGTTATCTTTTATGTAACATCTTATCTAATGCCTTTTGTAAATCCAAACATATCATCCACCAGTTCCTGTTTATTCAGTCATTACATCCTCAAGGATCTTTAATAGGTTTGTCATACGTGATTTCCTTTTCACAAAACTACGTTGACTCTGCATGATTGTATTATGATTTTCTAAAAGACCAGCTACTACATCCATAATAATGGATTCTAGCATTTTCCCAATGATAGATATCAGTCTAACTGGCCTATAGTTTGCTGCTTTCTGTCTTCCTCCCTTCTTGAATAGAGTTATTACATTTGTCGTTTTCCAATATTCTGAGACTTTTCTAGAACCTAGCGAAGTTTACAATCACCACTTCTTCAGCAACTTAATTTAAGACTTAGAATACAGGCAGTTAGGTGCAGCAGACTTGCCTATTAATTTTCTTGGTATTTCTCTAGTGATTCTTACGCCACTTTTGCTTCTTAATTTTCCATTATCCTTCAGGGGGTTTATATTTTCTGCTCTGAAAACAGATTAAAAAGTACTTGTTTAAAGTCTCTGATCTGAATGTTATGATCTGCCTGGACTGCACGCAAAACAAAACTTTTCATTGTACTTAAGTACATGTGACAATAATAAATAGAATCAAATCAACTTTCTTCATTTCCCATTATTAATTCTCCAGTTGTATCCTCAAAAGGACCAATGTTCACTTTGACTCACTTTTTCTATGCTTGTCGAAGTTTTTATTGTTTGCATTTGTATTTCTTGATAGTTTTCTTTTGTGCTACCATTCCTCCCTTATTATTTTCCAGATCTTTTGGATTACTCCCTTGCAGCACTGTCGGCCTTTTCTTTCAATATGAAACGATTCTTAATTTCCTTAGTTAGCCATGGATTGTGCATCATTATGATAGAGTTACCCTCTCAATGGTAAATAACTTTGTTGAGAACAATGAAATGCTTCCTTAAATGTTTTCTATTCCTTCTATATGGTCTTACCTTTTTAATCTATTTTCTAATTGTACTTTATCCAACTCTGTCTACATACCCTTCTAGTTGCCTTTATACTCAAGTTTCAGGCACACGTTATTTATTCTTAGAATGATAATGCACTTCCAACGTGTTATAATTATGCTTACCTATGAGGCAATGAAATAATCCTGTCTCATTACTCATTATCAGTTGTAAAGTATTCCAATTTCTGTTTGGTTCCTTGTTCTTTGAACATATTGTTCAAAGAGACTATCAATACAGCACAGGAACAGGCCCTTCAGCCAACAAGCCTGTGCCAATCCTAATCCTTATTTAAACCTGCTACTTATTGTCCATGGGAGGTTTCTATCTCTTTGTTCAAGTCCTGTGCATGTGTCTAACAAGATGCACCTTAAACGTTGCTAGTGTGCCTGCTTCCACCACCTCCAATGGCAGTGCATTCCAGGCAGCCATCTCCCTCTATGTGAAAAATTTTGCCCGCACTTCTCCCCTAAGCTTCCCCCCTCTTACCTCAAACGTGTGCCCTTTTTAAGTTGACCTTTTTACCCTGGAACAAAAACACCTGACTATCCTCACTATTTATGCCTCTTATAATTTTGTAGACCTCTATCATGTCACTCTCTCAGCCTCCATCTTTCCAGTGACAACAACCTGAGTTTATCCAACCTCTCCTCATAACTCAGACCCTCCAGACCAGGCAGCATCCTGGTAAATGTTCTTTGCAACTTCTCCAAAGCACACACGTCCATCTGGTAGTGTGGCGACGAGAACTGCATGCAATATTCCAAATGTGGCCTTTGTCCCAAAAACACTCTGAAATCATTCATCCAGGCTACTTTTGCCATATCTTGAACGTCCAAATCAAATTTTTTTCTCATTATTGTACTAACCTAAATCTTTATGAACCAGTGCTACCTCTCCCACTTTCTTTCTTTTCTTCCTGATCTTGGAAAGTGTCAAAATTACTTGAATATTCAGATTCTAATTGTAGTCACTTTTTGATGGCATCTGTAATGGCTACCATAACGTACTTATTTTCTAATTATGCTATCATTGAATGCTGCACACTTTCAGATAAAATGGCTTCCATTCTGCCTTACCATTTTTCCTACTCTGACCTTATTTGCCTGTGTACTCTTGTGTTTCTACTCTCTGAACCTTCCTGTCAAATTGTGAATAGTATTATCTGAATTACTATTATTTTATCATTTCTCTTCAATTTCCAAATCTCCCCTCACTTAAATCCTCCTCAACCATGGCCCAATTAAGTTAAAAACATTTCGCTAAGTCCTATTTATACAATTTACCAAGATGCTGGTTTCATCTTGGTACAGGGGTTGAGATCCTCCCAACGTACAGCTCCCTTTTTCTCCAGTGCTAGTGCCAGTGCCAACAAATTGAAGACCATTTCTCCCACCAAGTCTTAATACCACGTATCAACTCTCTTCACCTTCAGTCTTTCCAATGCTAAGCTTCAGATTCACCAATAACTTAATATTGAATAGGAGTCGGATATGATTCGTGGAATCAATGTAAAGGGAGTTTTGGATGGTAAATAGTCAGTTGATGGGAAATATGTAAATTGCATTATTTCATCCAATACCTAAGAAGTTGCTCCAAAATTATTTATTTTCTAATGGTCTAAATTCATTTGTAAGTCTAATATCTTTGTAAGATATTTTATATCTACAAAAATTAATTATATTATTCAAACTTCAATAATATTTTTATTTTAATTACTTGCAGCATCTAAATGGAATCTAAAATGGCTGCTGGGAATCATGATGCCATTTCTTCAGAAGAGCTTCGGAGGAGACTTTATCAAACATTCAAAAATCGGGGTGTCTTAGATTCTTTAAAGGTATTTCTTTATCTTTAACAAAAGAATATATTGCAGCATATTCTGTACTAATCATACATTGTGTCTTTATGAGCTAAACTTATTAAAATGGCCTGTCCATATATTTTAAACATATTTTAGTTATTTCTAGCACCAACTCTGACATACATTAATACTTCAATCTTTAGCTGTTCCATATAATGTGAGAAACTTATTAATAGGGTGTTCTTGCAGTGCAGTAGTAGTGTCCTTACCTCTGAATAGGGTCCCTGAGTTCAAGTCCCACTTGCTCCAGAGCTATGTCATAACATCTCCGTATGGGTTAATTAGAGGAGGGAGAAATAATTTGTGACAGCAAAGTTTGTTTGGGCATTCCATGAACTGGCACTCTCTTGATTAAATTGGCAAAAACTATATTCCCTGAAGTTTACTGCAGTGTCCAATTTATTATAGTTTTTAAAATTTATTTACCTCAATGTAAGATTACTTTTGAATCAAATGGCCGCACAAAATATCAACATTTGATTCAATTTCAAGTCAATTTCTCCTCAAATGCTGCGATCTACCGCGATGTCCTAGTAGTCAGTTCAGGGTGCGAGTGAGAAGGTTCTCTGCTGGTGAGTTTTATTTAAGGCAAAGTTGCATTAGTATTATTTAAGTGATTTATTTTGTAAATAAAGTATAACAGTGATGTGTATACCCTCCACAATATGTTTCTATTACTAAGTGCATGTTTTTATATTGATTGTGTGGACCTCTTGATTATCCAGAATGTTTGGTCAACCGGCATACTGCTGGTCCCATAGGTGCCGATTAATAACAAAAAATTGCTGTACTTGCAAATGAGCAGAATAATGCTCTATATTTCTGTAGTTTTGTGATCCTATACACATCACCTAGTAAATATCCAATCAGTTGACTTGCAGCATTAAGTTGATGGTAATTGGCAGTCACACAGAAAATTCCTCAAATTTATTTGCCTGTATTGTTAATTTCATGTTTACATAGTTTTAAAGATCCTGGTGTTTGACTTCTAGAAGGCATCAGATGCTTTTTTAAAATACATAATTATTCAAACTTCTTTCAACAATGAAGTCAATTAATAATTGTACAGCTGACATAATATACATTAATTATGGGTGCATGCTTTTGTCACATCTTATTGGATTAGTGCGCTGGAAATCAAACACTGCCATTCCCGGACTCATCTCAAAAGTTAAAGACTTTAGCAAAGTATGCAAAAGTTCCTCAATTTCCCCAACTGTCTGTTTGGACATAGGTAAACAGAAACATGGATTAGGTTTCTGTACTTAACAAGGATCACTCCTTATTACAAATTAACTGATTCTATCTGCAGGTAAACAACTATGAACTGATGACATATAATTCTGCTCATTGAAAGTCCAACCCCATTCCCTCTTGAAAGAGACACAGTCAGACAAAAAAAAATCAGCATTATGGGTGGAGGAAAACTTGGGAAAGCAGCTCAGTGGTCTGGTCCACGGGGTTCCCTAAGGTGATCCTCTTTGCTTGCGTGGCTTGCTTCTTCAGTCTCATCCCTCTGGTATTTTTCACTTTCTTAAACCAGGCACAAAGGGACTGGTTCACAAATTATCCAGTCTTTGACTTATTGGTCAAAAGTAACAACTTGCTGCAATTTGTGGGGGGAAGTAAACTGGTTTGCTTCAGATATTTTCTACTGCAGAGAGACACACCACTTCCCCTTCTGAAGGTCCAAAAGCTTCTGTTAATATTATTCACATCTGTAAGCTGTTCAGTTACACATGAGCCAATTGCATAGCTGTTGTCAAGCTGATCAAATTCCACTAACCAATCAGCATTTCGTTATTGGCCAAATCTCATTTTTTACACACCTCCCTTGGTGCCAGCCCACCTGTAGCAAACCTCTCCCAGTATTTGAACAAAGCAGTGGCCTAAACGCCCCACACAATGAGTTTCTGTAACTTACTTTTAAAAAGTGCAGTAATTTCTTCCACAATCCTTGGTTTTAGCTCTTGGCTCATTTCTGTATTTTTGACTGCTGACTACTGTAAAAAGGTACAGTCTTTACGCATTACTTACTACATAGTTGTAAGGTTCCCATAACAACAATTCCAGATGATTTAAGTGAAAATTTTAGGTACCTTAACAGATTAAGTTTCTGCAAAAACTCATGTAGCACTTTGTAAGATACTTGCCTAACTTATAAATTTTCCATTGGCTAGTCGCAGCTTCGAAATCAGCTTGTCCATGAATTAACGCATCCTGGTTTAAATGGACTGTTATCCGTGAATGGTCATCGGCATCAGAATCCTTCCACAGAAGAAAGTTCTCTGTTGGTTATGGCTGCAAATAGCATTGTTGCAGACCATTTAGGAAAGATTGGATACGAGTACTCACTGTCTGTTTTTTACCCAGAATGTGGCTTAGAAAAAGAAAAGGTAAGCTAAATCTGTATCTTTATCTTTTAAAAATATTATTTAACTATTGTATAGTTGGAAGTCAAAGATAAACCAATGAACCCTGTCAAATGTTTTTCCATAGGAAGGATTAGTCACTTTATTTATAGATGCTCTTCCGAGAGTTTAAATCTGGCCTTGGGCACTTCCTACCACGGTATAACTGATCCAGTTCTTTCAATACAAGAATAATCAGGACTCTTTTTTTTTCTAACGATGTCCGTCAATTAAATAACAATCGACAATAATAAGCGTATTTAATTTTAGGCATGCGAACAAAACTTTTCTCTTCATTTTCTTCTTTCCACTGGTGAACCTATTTGTTCCTTCTAGGGCACAGTTCAGCAGCCTTTGGATACAAATGTACTGAGTAACTTGCCCAGGTGATAATGGTGACTCTATATTTAAATATGTTGAGATGCATATTAGAATTGATTTCTGCCTTGCTTGAGGCACATAATCATACACATTTTCAGAATGTGGTGAAGGCACATGTGTCAGAATCCTAGTCCTAACCTATCATGGAGGAATAGTCAGGCCAATTATAGTGTAATTTCTGTTTTTCTGACAGAAGTATAGACCCAGCTTTTTCATGATGAATGCCATTTTGCTTTTTCATTTCTGTACCTTGGCACTGCTGCACTATCCTGGCTGAACCTTTCAAGCTCGGCTTCTACAGAAATGTGAGGTGTGCAGTTCACAAGTGCTTCTTTAGACCATCAGAGGAAAGACAAGTTGTGCCCCCGTTTATGGCAGTAGCTCTGTAAGACAAATTTAAACGATCAGAGTGGATGAATGAGTGAATGAGTAGTAGATGGGTGAGGTAAGTCTGCACAATGTAATTGAGTAAATGGATAGGGTAGCAGATGGGTGAGGTGCATCGGTGATATTTTGGTCATTGTAGGGGATGCAGTGGTTTGAGGGATAGCAAAGGGATGATGTTGTGTATTGGATGAATAGTTATATGCTAATAACTAAACTGTATTATTGGTGATGCCAGATGATATCAAATCACCACCTCCAGTGGTGCCCAGTATTACAGATACCAGTCTTCAGCCAATTCGATTCACTCAATGTGATATCAAGAAACGGTTGGAGACACTGGATACTGCAGAGGCTACGGGCCCTGACAACATTCTGGCATTGTACTGAAGACTTGTGCTGCAGATCTTGCCACTCCCCTAGTCAAGCTGCTCCAGTACAGTTACAATACTGGTATCTACCCAGCAATGTGGAAAATTGTCCAAGTATGTCCTGTACACAATAAGTAGGACGAATCCAACCCGGCCAATTACCGCCCCATCAGTCTATTCTCAATCATCAGTACAGTGATGGAAGGCATCATCAACAGTGCTATCAAGCAGCAGCTGCTCAGTGACACCCAGTTTGGATTTCACCAGGCCACTCAGCTCCTGATCTCATTACAGCCTTGGTTCAAACATGGACAAAAGAGCTGAATTCTAAAGGTGTGGTGAGAGTGACAGCCCTTGACATCAAGGCTGCATTCGACCGAGTGTGGAATCAAGGAGCCCTAGCAAAACTGGAATCAATGGGTATCAGGGGGCAAACTCTCCGTGGTTGGAGTCATACCTGACACATAGGAAAATAGTCATGCTTGTTGGAGGTCAATCATCTCAGCTCCGGACATCTCTGCAGGAGTTCCTCAGGGTCGTGTCCTCGGCCCAACCATCTTCAGTTGCTTCATCAATTACCTTCCCTCTATCATAAGATCAGAAGTGGGGATGTTCGCCGATGATTGCACAATGTTCAGCAACATTCGTGACTCCTCAGATACTGAAGCATTCTGCGTTCAAATGCAGCAAGATCTGGACAATACCCAGGCTTGAGCTGACAAGTGGCAAGTGACATTCGCCCCACACAAATGCCAGGGTATGACGATCACCAACAAGAGACAATCTAACCACTACCCCTTGACATTCAATGGTGTTACCGTCACTGAATTCCCCACTATCAACATCCTGGGGGGTATCAGTGACTAGAAACTCAACTAGACTCTCCACATAAACACAGCGGCTACAAGAGCAAGCCAGAAGCTAGGAATACTGTGGCAAGTAACTCACCTCCTGACTCCCCAGAGCCTGTCCACCATCTACAAGGCACAAGTCAGGAGTGTGATGGAATACTCCCCAGTTGCCTGGATGAGTGCAGCCCCAAAAACACTCAAGAAGCTTGACATCATCCAGGACAAAGCAGCTGGCTTGATTGGCACTAAATCCACAAGCATCCACACCCTCCGTCACCGACACTCAGTAACAGCAGTGCGTTCTATCTACAAGGTGCACTGCAGAAATTCACCAAAGATCCTCAAACAGCACCTTCCAAACCCAAAACCACTTCCATCTAGAAGGACAGGGACAGCAGACATATTGGAACACCACCACCTTCAAGTACCCCTCCAAGCCACTCACCATCCTGACTTGGAAATATATTGCTGTTCCTTCACTGTCGCTGGGTCAAAATCCTGGAATTCCCTTCCTAATGGCATTGTGGGTGGACTGCAGCAGTTCAAGCGCAGCTCACCACCACCACCACCACCACCTCAAGCACAACGAGGGATGGACAAGAAATGCTGGCCAGCCAGCAATGCTCACCTCCCACAAATGAATAGAGGAATAGGCATGGAAATAAAACTTGTTGGAAGAAGGTTTTATTAAAGTTTAGCTGTACCATGCCTCTGCACCTAATGTAAATAGTAAACTAATATTCATCAGTTTCCAAGATTATAGTATAGGGATTTGGTCAACAGTCAGTAATTTGCTTATTTTAGGTGGTTTAAATCACCTCCAGATCCCAGATTCTACACACTGGACTTATTTAGGGAATGTGAAAGGAAGAAGGCAGTAGATAGGTGTTTCAGGGCAAAACAATCTCTGTGTTTATTTAAATACAAAAGCTTAAATATAATACAACAAACAGTAAAATTGACACTATAAATTATACAGAGGACAGTAATTAAATATAATATTAAATTAAACACAGATTAAACATTATTAGAACATAAACAGCTAGGAGCCAACGGAGACGATTAATTCCCTGTAAATTACCTGTAACGCCTTGTTGATAATTGTCAATATTAAACATTGTGAGAGAAGGCCATAAGGGATTGCTTCATGCTAAGTGTGCTGGATGAAGCTTTATCAAAACTTTTACAGTCTAACGTGAATACTTTCAGTCTAAAGTGGATGTTATGTTAAAATCTTAGTGCAGTTTGTGAGACAAGCTGAATATACAAGTAAAAGACTCTATTTGCCTGAGGGATTTGAAAGCTTCTATATTTTATTACAGTGGGAGAAAGTTCACTGACATTCCATTGTATATAATTAGCATTGTTCTTTCCTGTTTATGTAGCTTTGAATACTTTTTATTCACCAGCTGTATACAAAATTGAAGGTGATACATCGTGCTATCAGTCAGTCTTCATTGAAGAAGCTCCAACTCCAGGGCAGAAGAGGATATTGCAGATTTTTCTCTTTGGATGCAAAACTAGGAGATGCCGGAAAACGATGTACCAAAGTTAAAAACTGAAACAACTGTGGATGCTGTAAATCAGAAACAAAAGCAGGAGTTGATAGAAAAGCTCAGCAGGCCTGGTAGCATCTGTGTAGAGAAATCAGAGTTAACATTTTGGGTCCGGTGACCCTTCCTCAGAACTGATGGCAGCTAGGAAAATTTTGGTTTATGTACAGAAGATAGGATGTAAGGAGCAAATGATAGCTGGGGATACAGCCCAAAGAGACAGAAGAAAGGTTGGACAGACAAAGGAGTGGATAACGATCTGGCTGTGAATAGCTGTTAGCGGCTAACAATAGGTAGTGTCTGATGGCAGATTATGTGATAACAAGGCCTGGTGTGTGGGTTGGGGACTAGGACATGGGATAGTTCAGGCCCTAACATTATTTAACTCGATATTGAGTCCAGAGAGTTTCAGGAACCCCAAGCGGAAAATGAGGTGTTGTTCTTCCAGGTTGCGCTGAGCTTTGCTGAAACATTGCAGCAAGCCTGAGACAGAGATTTTGGCCAGGGAACAGAGTGGTGTGTAAAAGTGGCAGGCAACTTGAAGTTCAAGGGTCATTTTTGCAGCCAGAACATAGATGTTCTGCGAAGTGGTCACCCGATCTATGCTTCATTTCCCTCATGTAGAGGTGATGACATTGTGAGCAGAAATGCTGTAGACTAGATTGTGTAGGTAAAATGCCACTTCACCTGGAAGATAGGTTTGAACCCTTGGATACTGAGGAGGGAGGAGGTAAATGGGCAGGTGTTACACCTTTGGTAGTTGCAGGGGAAGGTACTATGTGGCTGTGGCAGGGTGTTGGGAGTGAAGAAAGTGTGGACCAGGGTGTTCTGGAGGGAACAGTCCCTCCGGAAGGCAGACAAGGGAGGGGAGGGGAATATGCATCTGGTGGTGGCATCTTGCTGGAGGTAGCAGAAATGAAGGCTGATGATCTTCTGGATGTGGATGCTGGTGGGACAGTAGGTAAGGGCAAGCGGAACCCAACACTGTTGCGAGAGGGAAGATAGGGATGAGGGGAGAATTGTGGAAGATGCATCAGACTTGGTTAAGAGCCCTGTCAATAACAGTGTTGGGGAATCCGTCGTTGAGGAAGAAGGTGGACATTTTGGAGGTTCGCTTGTCGAAGTTGGTCTCATTGGAACGTATGTGACGGAGATAGAGGAACTGAGAGAATGGAATGGAGCCTTTATAGAAAGCAGGGTGCGAGGATGTATAGCTGTGGGAGTCGGTAAGTTTAAAGTGGATATTAGTGGCCAGTTTATCCCCAGAAACAGAAATGTAAAGAAAGGGAAGGGAGGAGTCAGAGATAGACCAGGTGAAAGTGAGGGCACGGATGAAATTGGAAGTGAAATCGATGAACTTTTCCAATTCCAGACGCGAGAGAGAGAGATGCAGCACTGATGATATCATTGATATGTTGGAGAAAGAGTTGTGGTTGGGGGCCGGAATAGGACTGGAATAAGGAATGTTCCACGTGCCCCATGAAGAGACAGGCATAACTGGGGCTCATGTGGGTTCCTATGGCCACGCCACTGACCTGAAGAAAATGAGAGGAGTTAAAAGAGAAGTTGTTGAGGGCAAGGACGAGCTCAGCCAAGCAATGGAGGGTGGAGGTGGTTCAGACCTTTGCTCCAGGAAGAAGTAGAGAGCCCTGAGACCATCCTGGTGGGGGATGGATGTGTAAACTGATTGCACGTCCATGGTTAAGAGGAGGCAGCTGGAGCCTGCAAACTGGAAATTCTGAAACTGGCGTAAAGCATCAGAGGAATCATGGATGTATGTGGGCAAGGACTTAACCAGGGAGGAAAGACTGAGTCAAGGTAGGAAGAGATGAGTCCTGCGGGGCAGGAGCAGTTGAAAGCAATGGGTCTGCCCGGGTATATCTGTTTGTGGATTTTTGGAATAAGGTAGAAGGGAGCTGTGCAGGGCTGGGGGCTATCAGCTTGGAGGCAGTGTGGGGGTGATCACCAGATAAAATGAGGTTAGTGACCGTAGTTCATACAGTGGCCTGATGTTCCATGGAGGGGTCATGGTCCAGGAGGAGATAGGAAGAGGTATCTGAGAGCTGGCATTCGGCCTGTGCAATGTAGAGGTTAGTACACCAGACTACAACAATACCATCCTTATTGGCAGGCTTAATAATGAAGTCAGGGTTGGATCTAAGCACATGGAGTGCAGTCAGTTCAGAGGGAGACAGGTTGGATTGGGTGAGGGGACAGAGAAATTGAGGCACCAATTCATGTTGACAGTTCTCAATGAACAGATTGAGTGCAGGCAAAAGGCCGGAG